AACACGAAGAGCCATGACGTTTACTTCATTATTCAGTTTGGATATTTTTATATATATATAATTTTTGTTGTTTTAATTTCCTTGTGAATTATTTTCAAAGTATTTATTACATGTAAAGCAGTAGGCAAAGCTAGTTGTAAGTTTTAAAATTCAGTATTTCAGTGCCCCCCAGTGGTACAACGGTATGTCTGCGGACTTACAACGCTAGAAACCGGCTTTCGATACCAGTGGTGGGCAGAGCACAGATAGCTCTTAGTGTAGCTTTGTGCTTAATAACAAACAAACAGTATTTCAGTTTTACAAAAAAAGAAGTAAAATATATAACGTAGGCGAGTAAGGGAAGGACCAACTGTACCAACCTCACATACAAAAATAATTAATGACTAAAATGAAGTAGTTTGCAAGAGTGAGAGTCAACTTTATAAAGCATTTACGCCATAAAAGCTATAATGTAAATTAGCGAGAAAATTAGCTAATCGCAATGCTTTAATGTTTATCTTGAATTAGTGAAAACATAAATTGACTCTTATTCAACACCATTTGTCTCTCGTCGATGATCATATATATATATATATTAAATAAGTGATAATTAATTTTTCCTTAATGTTACAGCAGTGAGTCTACGGACTTACAATGCTATTGTCCGGAGTTCGATTCCCCGCGTTGGATCCTACAGATAAGCCCAATGTCGCTTTGCTCTATTGCGAACAAACAAACAATGCTACTGTCATTAATATTATTAGTTAAAATGTTCAATATATATAGTTTTATTAATTTGTATTGTTACACTTTTTATCATAGAGGCTGTCTTATGTTGTTAGCTTAGTATATGGATTTCAGAATAACTTAAATATCCTCAAGGGATATTATTTGGTTTACAGCTGAAAATATCGTTAACAGTTGAAGCACCTAACTGATGAAAAAATATAATCTTTACAAGAAAGAAGTGATGTATAGTTTTAATCTAAGTGCTTAGCTTGTTTTAAGTAAAAATCAATATTAATAAAAAAGAAGTCAAATCCACTTGTAAAACGCTACACTTGATAATAATTGGTGATACCTGATGTTCATTCTTTTAGAACTGCAAATTAATTTAATAAGTATATATATGCGATCTTAAACTTTCATAACCATTCAACAAGTAGTAGTTTAAACTGCTCATTTATCATAAAAACTATCAATTTAATGTACTTATCAAGATGAAACAACTAGGATATACTACATGATTTCTACCCTTTTTTCCCCTTTGTAAAATTCCCTGCTTTGAGAATATGCCAATAACATTAAGTAGTGAAGAGGAACAGTGTGTTGGAAGTGTGTAGGAAGTAACGAGAGATATTACACCACCGTTGCATGTAAGACTCTGTATCATTCTATTTTACATTAAATTTGAAAATACTGACAACGCGAAATGTCATTTGCAGCAAAATACGACAACAAAATACTGTGTATAGATTTATTATAACACAAAAGTTACAATTTTCAGCATATTCTCTTTCTTTGTTATTAATATTGCCAAAACCTCAAATTTTTATTCAATCTACATAAGAATAACGAAACCAAGCGTCCCAGTTTTAAAATGAAATATTTGAAAAGTTATGTAAACATTTGAAATTAATAATTATAAATATTGTGTCATTTGTGTGTTCCACATTCAAAATCCTCTTCGTGTGTATTCACGATCTTCGTTTATTTTCATGAAGTTTGAAAAAATAAGCCTCATTCAAAGTTAAACTGAAGACTATCACAACTTAGCGGATTTCACCTGTTCCTAGGACTGTCATTTGACGGACAGAACCATATTGTTCTAGGAACAGGATCGCAAACTTGAAAAAAAAAAGTTTGATTGTGGGGTAAACCCATTTATAAATGTTCCAATATTATAAAGTGGGTTGCGTACGTTATATTAAAACCATTTTTGATATGCACATCAGTAAGTCACGTGGAATTCACAAAATATATAAATTCAAAACAAAATTTTAACATTATTGGTGTTACATATGTAGCGTGATTCCACTGAACATCTGGGAATAGTATGTACCAGTGCTTTCCAACGAAAATGTTCATACATCCAGATCATAAACATTACTTAGATCGGAAATTTATAATTTCCAAGGTGGAGATAACCCTTGTACGTAATGGATTTGGAAAGTAAAGAAAAGTGGATCAGTATGGAGCACCTGGACCCTCCAGAAAGAAACCTTCAACAACTTTTACTCCAGCTGTAAGAAAATGAAGCGCGCCATCTTCTAACAGGTGAGAATCCACAGACATAAAGATAAATAGCAAAAGGATCACCTTATAGAAAAGCAACACAAGTTGTTTCCTCAACATATCTGTTTAATTATCGCGGAGATCGAACGGCTTTAGAATGGAATGGATATTGATGCTATTCTTTACAATTATTTGTTTGTTGAATTTCACGCAAAGCTACTTGAGTGCTATCTGCGCTAACTGTTCCTAATTTAGAAGTGATAGAGGGAAGGCATTTTGTCAATACCATTTACCACCAGCTCTTGGGTTACTCTGATCAAATACTAGAATTGACCGTCACATTATAATACCCTATGAATTTTTGTGCGATAAGACTGTTGACATAGGTCCTTTGTTTAATAGATTGATTACGAAAGCACAAGTAGGAAAAGTTTTGTGCTTTAGACATGAAATTGTTACGATAAAGCCATTTGCAATGGAAACTATGCTAAATAAATATTGTCAACATGTACGGTTCTCAGGTAGGGTATTACCGGATTATGTGACATAGATTATAACAACTTAGTGAAGATCCAAAATCGTTTTATATAACGTTCTCAACCACCGTATATTGTTTATCATTTACTAAATGTAATGAGGTATTGATGGGACGGATAATTTTCGTTCGAAGATGAACTTGCGTAATACTATATCATAAAACTTGTGGTAAGTCCTACTTTCGTAATGTCCTATTTTTGTAAGCTTTAATCGAATTTTTGTATTTTCAAAGAAGGCTTGCTTCGTTGTGCTATTTTTACTTTCGTTTTCCTTTTGTCTGGAGGTTAACTATGATCTATCTTTTATATTTACATACCTAGTAAGTTTCATATGGGAACTTAGAGACACATTACACGTTATATAGGTAGATTGGTAGTGTCAAAGTATATAGGAGATATCAAAACGTTGTATAACGCGTGAATTAGACACAGGAAAAACTAAACCCTGTTAAAAGAAGAAAAAAATCAACATAGGAAATACTTTTAATGCGTGTTCACTTGCAATTTACTGTGCTTGAGATCTATCAACGGTACCAGAATTTTGATAAAACAGGACTGAAAAACTTTCAGCTCAGACAAAGTAAAATTATTTCAGAGCATGGAGAATTTTCACATGTTATGACAGATATATCCGAGAAAGTATCTTAGTAACAAATTCACAGTGACGTTGCTAGATGTGACGTCACCACATTTTAACGGGCACTATTTGTGATGTTTGTGGACCATAGTGAAGGAAGATTCAATGTGGGTTCTTTTGAAAGTATGATATAACGCAAACCATCCATCACCCCAAGAATGTGCAGTATGTTTTTGTTCAGTGTATAAACCTTTAGTGCTAGAATTCTGAAAAAAATGTTTATATATCTTTTGATGTGATATGAGTTGTTTTACACAATTATTATATGACAATGTATTATATGTAACTAGATGAGAAGTTCCACTATGAGTATATTGTACCGACTCTAAGTGCTATTCAGGGGAGTTATCGCATTTCACGCACTGAGTCGGGGATCTATTTGAAGAGTGTCTGTGCTTTAAGTCATAAGTATGATACCAATAGCAGTGTAACCAGACGATTAGATGTTTCCAATTCTAAATCTGTCTTGAAAATAAATTTGTAAGTACTTCGAACCATCCCAATGCTCTTGTAACGGAAGGAAACTGCAAGTGATATGTACTTAAATATTTTAGTCACTGAACGCTCCTTCTAAATTTGAAATTCTAGAAGGAGCGTTCAGTGACTAAAATACATATAACAGCTCAAATACATATAACAAAAAATTCATATTTGAGCTTAGGCTTCATTTATATACTTATTTAAAACATTAGTTACCGCCCTCTTTAGAAACCTTGCATAAAATTGAAATAATCTTCACTGTATTAATTTTTCAAGGATAGGAAAAAATTAAATGGTTGGCCCAATATTCCTGATAAAAATCACATTCAGATATTTTCTTCCACATAGAACTAATAATTATTAGAGTGATTTATATCATGAAAATAATGCATATGTATAAGCAATTCCAAAGGATGGACGCAAGAATAATTCCAAAGTCTAGAGATATATAACATATATTATCTTAATATATTCATTTTGTTTCATGAAATGTGAATGTTGTTATTGTTGAATTTGTTTTATTATCTGAAAATGTACTGCCCATACTATCAGCAGGCAATGTTTTCAGCACTGACGATAGTTGGACACTAAATACTTATTATTTTAATATTAAGTATTAATATCAAATATTGTTAATCAGAAGATTTAATGTTATAAGATTTGTGTCAAGAATATAGAACTTGAACGAGGAAGGTAAGCTAATGAAAGTATTTATCGTAGCGTTTGTCGTAAGTAATGATTAGCTGGGTAGCGATAAAACAGAACAGCATAAAGCAAACTTACAGTTTTCCGGTAAATAATGTTTATTATGATTAATATTTTACATGTATCTGACGCTTTTTATGAAATGCATTTGTCTGGAGTGTAGAAATGGTTAAGGCTTCGGTCTTCATTTGGTCATTAAATATCGTCCTTTACACTCCAGGCAGATGTAGTCATAAAATCCTCAAATACAGTGCAGCTTATTAAAATGAAATATCTCATATTATACCATATTGTAAAAATACACTTCATATTTACACTATATTTTTTGTAGAACGTAACAACAGTATTTTTCGGTTATCTTTGAACGTGGTACAAGAAAATAAAGGAACGTTTTTAGTAGAAGAAACAAAAGAACCAGTTTATTCAGGTATACACACTAAGCACGAGGATTCATTTGCTCAACCAAAATGGATTGATGAATACATAGATACAAGAAGGTGATTATAATACGTGTATTTAAAACGGCAATCCAAAATAAAATGTTTTACAGGAAAATAAATACATTGCTTCCTTTTGCAACATTAGATTATTATTATATTTATGTAATCATTTGACATTACATAACATTCATCAATACGTTCACTTTAAGGCTCTTATATTGAGCTTTACTATTGTTTTCTTTTATGCTCCATTTTTCGGGATATTTACAACGTTCATAAAATATTTGTTAAAATCTGAGAATATATTTAGCAGTAATGTTGTTAGTTATTTTTTACAATATATTATTCATGGATAATTATCATTATTTTAATGGAATGCTTAAAAAAATGTAAACATTTCAAACTTTTGTTCTCAATAGTGGGAAATGTAAGTATTATAAACACTTTCAACATCATCTTAATGTATGTTTTCCCTGCAAGTAAAACCTCCAAGTTATGTTTTTAAACATCTTTTTTCACTTTACATTTTCTCTGAAGGGAAAAAAAAAGTAATAATTCAACGGAAGGCACCTGTATTACCACACATAAGGATATTTAAACACGGGTATTCTCTATGTCGGAGTCTCCAGTATTGTAGCTCAAGCCAATTAGTTTTACCTTAGTTTCCTTACATTTCAAACTGTAGTCACATGATGCTGCTTCTATCAGTTCCACTTGATGATATTTAAACACGGGTATTCTCTATGTCGGAGTCTCCAGTATTGTAGCTCAAGCCAATTAGTTTTACCTTAGTTTCCTTACATTTCAAACTGTAGTCACATGATGCTGCTTCTATCGTTCCACTTGATTCTGGCAAGGTAGGACTAAGTCGTTGAGCTTGTAGAAGAAGAGGTATTGACGCTGGAAGCTTTAGAGAGGATAAATTGTTATGTTTTCTTGGAACAGCGGTAAACAATTGAGTCATAAATCACAACAAGTAGCCGAAAAGATTAAAATGTTTTAAACAAACTTTGTTTTTCTCTTCTCAATCAACATAGTTTTATCTTAACTTTATTGTAGATGTGGGTTTAGCAAATATTTAAATAAGATTTTTTTAAAACTTTGGTATGAATTTTCCATTGTATCAAAGTACGTTTTTCGATTTGAAAATAATTAATTACTTAAACTGCTAAATATTTATACTTAATTGAGCTTTACTGAAATTCAAAATGCGCTAATGAATAAATTCAAGAATAGTTTGCTGATTATATATAAGTTCTATTTAGGAGTATGGTAGGGTATATATATATATATTACCACTTTTATATGATAATGCAGATGAGTGGCGGAACGGGCGACATGATTAACACCTATATATTTGGTTTACATTGAATTCCATCCTTATTAAAAAGTCGTCACAGGTAACAGAGGTTGAAGGAATAAATGTCACAACTCATTCGTGCAATGAAAGAGCAAAGAAATGCATAATCTCGCGCTCCGGAATTTGGAAGACGAATATCTGTAACACAGTATGTAAAAGCACCTAAACATCATCCTACCACATGCAGGAAGGACTGCTGCTATCATTGTCATACGTCGAAGACTGGTCGTCCTGGGACCTCATATTATTCAGAAGGTGGTTACTTGCAAGTTGCACTTACCCTAATGAACTTTAAACAAGGTATTTCACAAAATATTCGTCCTTCTAAAGAAACATAAGCCACGAGTGAACAAGTTTTTCTGTAAACACATTACACAAATAAAGACAAGCTGCAAAAGAAGGTACGAAAAATACTTTACTGGTGAAACAAAGATGTCCAACAACCTGCACTTTATTGTCTCTGTATCTTATCTGGCCCTACCAAACTGGGTCTTTAGCCAAACATTTGTGATCAAAGAGAACTTAGAAAAGATTGATTTATGTGTAGTTCTTTATGCAAATGAAGTTTATTTGAAACACTTGAAATAATTACTAAACGTTTATGGATATCTTATGACTTATTTTCTCTTAAATGTGATTTAGAAATTGAGACATTGTTCATTTTCGCTATTTTGATAAAATATGGAGCCATGATGATAAGTTATTTTCTTGAATATATTTTTACATTAACAATTATGGAACTAAAGATTCGGGCATCACTTGGAAGAGAAACAACGATTAAATATTTGCAATAAGTTAATATCTTGAAACATAAAGATGTCTGCATTAAAGATTATGAAACTTATGGCGCACTGAACAATAATCATAATTGTTGCACTGAAACTAAATATATAATAACTTCAGATTTTAGAATACACATGCAAAAAATGTGCATATGTATGAACTAATCTAGCTACCGAACAATAATAATGGCTTATGCAAAGTGATATTTGGCCATTTTATTTGTCTATAAAACAATGAAAACGTGAAGAAAATATTTAGGTAAAAACGGGTTATCTCCAAGACCTTTAAGATTCGCAAACGTTCGTAATAAATTTTAACATGCAACGTAATAGAAATATGCGCTAGAGAACGTGATAACGTGCCATATTTGTACTTTGTAGCACAGTAACCAAAGCTTGTTGTGAAACGTTTCGCACATAATCGCACGGAAATCCCTATTTGCTCTAGGGCGAAATAGTGGCTTAATGGTTAAAGCAAATCTAGTTGGATGAAATTCCCTAAGACAAGTTGGTTGAGTTCAGTATAGCTATCCCTTTCTTGTAAGTGCGATGATAGTCACGCTGTGCGCAGACTGTCGACTAAGTTATGTTTTGGCTTGCAAATTTATATTTTCTATTCACAATACCAATCATTTACGAGTAGGATGTGTCAGTAGTTTCATATGTTCTATTTGCTGAAGTTTACAACCCTGTACATGTAATATTTCAGATTCTGCTTAAGTACTTCATAGTTGGGATAAGACACCTAAGATTCACATGCCATTCCTTTATGATTTATGTAAATATTAGATAAATTATGGACTAGTGGTTTCGAACTAGTTTTATTATAACTGAACCTTATTGAATACTAAAAGAGACCCTTAAAACTTTTGTGGTCAAATTATTATCTTTATTGCAACAGTACTTCTTTAAATATGGGCTTTCTTGAATAATACAAAAGAATTCTAATCGCAAGCAAACAAAATCTAAGTTCACTTTTTTTACGCCTGAAATTAGTTAAGCTTTTATTTAGTACGGCCTATATTCGATAACGAGATAACTCAACATTGTAACTTGTGCACGTTTTTATTTTTAGTTTAGTTAGAGTTAAACTTTACCATAATTAATATTATCAATAAATAAACTTATACTTTTATTCTACGGCCTAATGCTAGACCTTTTTAAAAATTTTGATAAGCTTTTAATATATTGTTATACAAAATATCTACTATAGTATATTTATATTCGCTTTTTGTTTACATCCGTCGAAATGAAGTGTGCGCGAATGCACATTTAGAAAATAGATGCGCGCGCATTTACAGTGCTAACAGAAACTGTGTATTACTATAACAAACAATTAATAACGTCCGAATGAACTATGTTCATAGCTGCTAAGATTATATAAGATTAGGTTCTATAGAATGAATTGCAAGGTTAGGGCTATATAAATTCAAATGCTAGACTTCAGCATACGCCCAGCAGTATGAGGCAGATATACAGACATGAGATTAAGATAGTAACAATCAGTGGATACATGGGACAAAATAAAGCTTTTTACATTTATTAAACACTAATAAAACTCGCGTTGAGTACTTCTTGCAATTGCAGTCAACATTTTATCACCAGGTATTAGTCACATACGACTAGCATATTCAGCCATATCATAAATGTGTTATCACTTTGAGCACTCGTTTCCTTCTATATTTCATATGTAGGCCAGATAGTGTGAGATAGTAATGGCACCGCGAGCCTAATTAGTTTGAAAGCTGTCTTCTGATAACTTTTATTTTTACTGTATTCAAATACGTTTTCAACGCAGAATATCACACAGCAGGACATTCGACCTTGTTTTCACTCGCCGAGTTTATAACAAAAGAAATGCAGTAAATCGATAAAGCAGGTTTCACGAAATAAAAAAAAACATTATTCTGAATGATGACTTATGATTCTTATCTTTTTCGCAATAAAGCTCCCTTGGGTACCTTAGCATAAAATTTATGTTATGCTTGTACTTTTGCACCGGCATAAAATATAGTGCTTTGTATATCCGAACTTGTGGGAAATATCAGACTCACTCATATTTTGTTATACAAGTGTGAATATCTATTGAACGATGAGACTTATTGTGACCAAGGACAAATTATTATTAGTTTATTCGAACGTATTAAAATTACTTTTTTTTTTACTTTACAATACGTGAGAAATAAATATGGTACATGTGTAACTAGACAAAATAAAAAACAAATTGTTCTGTCTTGGCAATTCTGAAGAAGTCAGCATGGTGAATGTTATTTTGAAGAAAACAACATATGCTAAAATAATATTTTCCCCTGACTGAATCAGATAATTATTGTAAAATATAAGTGGATAATCAAGCGATGTTGTCATTTAATCTAATAATATTGTATGAAAAAGCAAACAATTTTGTGAGCGTGGATATTCTTCGTTTGTAGTAAAGCACAGAGCAACACAATGGGCTATCTGTGCCCACTAAGAGTATCGAAACCCGGTTTTCGGCGCGGTGTGAGCCCATAGACTTACCGTTGAGCTACTGGAAAACTGGATCTAGATGTTTAAAATGAAATAACATAAAATATAGCTAGGTTTTGATTGAAGACCGTCAGAAGATATGCGAAGCAAATATAAAATTAAAAATACTCACACTTTTAAAATATCCCTTTTTTTTTCCAGAATCATCAGAATTGTGTCAAGTTACTTCAACCATGAAAACCGATAGAGTCTTGCATTCCGAGCATTTTTCCGTGACAGTCACTTGGATCAATACTAATGGTTTAACAGTCGTGAGCGAAAAACATATCAGAAAAAGAGTTTTAAGTATAATTCTCCTTTTAGTTTCGACAAATCATTTTTATTTTTTTACTTTTCTTGGTAAAAGTATAAACAAGTGCAAAGAGCTATGGCGTCATACGTGGTAATTACTATTCTTTCCTATTCGTTACATAGCGAAGTTCAATTAAGATTTTCCTCGTAGCTGATTCCTGACTTTTGCTTCATCATTTCTAACAAATGAATCGCATTGCTTCTTAAGGATACAAAAGAGAACGTAAGAATTATTTAAGGTGTGCTTGCTACCCAGTAGTTCATTCGCCACAGGAACCGCGAACAGCACGATAAATTCTATGTGAATATTAGCATCATACAATATTTCAAGCTAAGACAAACGCAAAGTCACGCTGATGATTATCATGTATTAAAAGTGGCGTTTCTTGACACTGACGTAAGCAATAGCTGGAAAAACGTATTATATGACAGATTAATGAATCATACCTGATCTGTTTGTTTGTTTGTTTTGAATTTCGCGCAAAGCTACACGAGGGCTATCTGCGCTAGCCGTCCCTAATTTAGCAGTGTAAGACTAGAGGGAAGGCAGCTACTCATCACCACCCACCGCCAACTCTTGGGCTACTCTTTTACCAACGAATAGTGGAATTGACCGTCACATTATAACGCCCCCACGGCTGAAAGGGCGAGCATGTTTGGTGTGACGGGGATTCGAACCCGCGACCCTCAGATTGCGAGTCGAGCGCCTTAACCACCTGGCCATGCCGGGCCTATACCTGATCTTAAGAACAAAATATGTTTCAGATTCGATTAAAACAAATACATATATAAAGCTATCAAAATTTAAAACGAACATCTGTATTTTCATATTTTGGGTTGTATAAATCACCATATTAATAATTCATATTTAAAACAAAAAGAAAGAATACTGAAATGATGAAAACAGGCAAAACATATTGAAAAACAATTCTGAGTAGATTTTGAAAAAGTTATACAAATTCAGTTTTAATAAAACGTGAATCTTGAGGATCATTCCTTGCAAAGTATTAGCTTTACTTGAGTTTCTCTCAATTTTGACGGAGTCCTAAAATAAACAATATTTTATTGTCTCTATAGCGCCGTATTATCGAATGAATTATTTTATTTCTCTTTATTAGATAAATAAATATATAAGTAATAATACATTGCACTCAACACTGCTCACTAATTAAACTAGTATTTGCTACTGTTGTGCCTCTTCTAATAATATCTAAAAAATTGCCTACTTTTACACGATTAACAAAACTGTTTTAAACGCCTGTTATATTCTGAAGCAGTGTAAAACGGTTTAGTGTATAATCAGACCATACGTAATTAATTACAAATATACTTTTCCACATACACTGACTATCAAATGACGTTACTGGTCATCCTAGGAATTATATTTTACTTTGATGACGCTTTCTCGTAGCCCCCCAGTGGCATAGCGGTATGTCTGCTGACTTACAACGCTAGAAACCGGATTTCGATACCCGTGGTGGGCAGAGCACAGATAGTCCATTGTGTAGCTTTGTGCATAATTACAAACAAACAAGCTTTCTCGTAATTGATGTTATTTATCTGCATAGGGTGAATTTTCCTGTATATACTTGAAATTTTTATCGTTTTTTTTTTGTTTTGTTTTACAATCAGAACACTTTCAGATAAAATAACAAAAAAATAGCTTTCAGTGGATGTAAAATCATATGCATGAATGCAGAAAGTACAGAATGCCTTTTGGGATAATCAACTTTTTTAAATTTAGTATGTTGTAAGGATATCTATTGGCTTAACGAGTTTACTTTCAACGCAAGAAAAACAGCAGTAAAAGGAACGAATTGAATGTTTATCAAGAGGGAATGACTGTTGACATCAAGATAGGTTTTTGCTATTAGAAAATTATAAAAATATCTTTATATTTCTGTAGAATCATCCCGTATAAATAAAAAGCACGTAAAATATTTAGCTGTTTAATTCACTTTGTGTGTTTGTGAATTTGTACCTTCAGTTCTAGAGATAACGGGACCAAATATTGGAGATAATAGAGGAGCTTGATTAGTACATTGGTGCCTCTGTAGATCTTGAGTCTCCTTTGAAAACCGCAGCGGAGGGAGCTGGTACTTTATGCTAGTCACACATAAAAACAATAAAGAATTAAATCAGTCTGTACTAGATACACACAGAATTTCAGTAAGAAGAGTTTACGATAGCATTTCAACTATAAATTGTTTGTTTTATGCCGCTGTAGACGAAGCCTTTCGCTCAGTATATGAGTTCATAAGGCCAACTTAGTGAACAATAAACAAACTTTTGGCTCAATCGCTATTCAAATCATAAACACAACAGACAAGATATAGTTTAAATGCTATTATACAACCCGATTACTGAAAACACGTACTGGATCCGTGAAGAATGATGCGATTGAAGTTATTATCAGCCTTATTGTAATGCAATGTCGCACACATTTAACATCTATATATCACGCTTCTTCAGCTAAAGCGTTCTAGACCATTAAGCTGTTAATGTTGTTTTTTTATGCGTTGTAGATTTAAGTAAATGGGGTACTTAAAGTTTTTAACATTTTTCGGACTGTTAAAATTAGCGTAGTTCTGGGATTTGGAAAACACTTATCTCTAATAAAAGTGTGCAGCTCCCTAATTCACAAATGTTTAGCGTTAGTTATAAACATATTGATTCGTATTAATTGTGTTTTAATTATTATAGCTAGAAAGAATTTTATTTCTAAATAAATATCGATGTCCTTAAATTCCCATTGTATGCATTTTTTATTTGAAAAATAAGGCCCTTGTGATTTATATACGTCTCGAATTTAAAATATTTCATATCCAAAACCAGTTTGGCCGGAAATAGCCTAGTGGTTAGCGTGTCGGGATGCGGATCGAGGGTTCCAGATGTGATGTCTTTGATTACGTATTATAAAAAAATATACTCAGTCATTTTATTCCATTCAAAACAGACGGACAAAGTCTTTATGCGTCCCCCGGATTTACAACGCTAAAATCAGAGGTTCGATTCCCTTCGGTGGACACAGCAGATAGCCCGATGTGCACATAAACACGTAAGTCTTTATATTGGCGAGTCTTGTGGTTGGCGGCCTTCTTCTGGTCAGTAGAAGAAACTTAATGGCAGATATATCCGAATCTCTAGCCTAGTCTTTTGTGTAAAGTGAACGTCAGGTGTCGCTCATGTTCAGAATTCCAATTATAAAACTAGTTAAAATAACTTTTTCTATTCAACAATTAACAAGTAACAGATGACTAATAGATAAAAGAAATAATTTCAAATAGTTCTATAATTATGCGTTTAAGAAATAGAAGCTAGTAAAAACCATAGCGATACAATGCAACGGTATTGTGAAATAAGGTAAAAAGTAATATATATATATATATAGAATTGACTCACAAAGTTCTGCGAAAAATATCGAAACTGTCGAGAAAAAAGCATTATAAGTCAGAAAATAAATAAATCGGGACTGCTTGAATACAAAAGTCAACGTAGGAAACGAATTTGGAAGAGGTATTACGAAACGTAAAGTTAAGTATGAAAAGCTTCAAACTGGGCTCAGGAAGTTCAAAGAAGCAAATAAACTCCCTTTTGGCTAAATAACACCTTCAAAGTTTGTATTAAGGACATTTAATATAAAACACAGTAAAATACCTTTACTATTATTATGGAAATAATGTTATATGCGGATATAAAAATCCCTGAAAATCAAGAGAAAGAGAGTAGAATTATTACAGCTTCAATAGCTATTTTCAGCGAGGATCACTGTAGTTGACTGATATTCAATAAAATCAGTGTATATCCATGTACAGATGAGATGCACGAGACCAAAAGGTAACATAGTTTAACAAATTAAAGAAAACTTTAACGGCAGTTAGAAATTTAGCCCAGCATAGACTTAACAGAATTAGGCAAAAATTATAAAATAGTTTTCGTAAAATACTTTGAATGTCACGCATTGTTCTTAGCTAATCGACTTTGGTTAATTAATTTCACGTGGAGACATTTGTGCAGCTGGAATCAGTGCTTGCAAAACATGCTCATGGTGTAGCGGAAATTCCTTCCAAATATGATGAGGTAATGCATTTCAACAGGTGGTAACTAATTAAGAAATAATGCATACAGAATTTAAACAAGTATTATTTAAAAAAAAAAAAGCCGAAAGAGAAAATGCCTCAAATTCGTATTTACCATTATTCTTCACTTGACATATATATTCAAGTTGAATGCCCCCCCCCCCCCCAGTGGCATAGCGTTATGTCTGCGGACTTACAACGCTAGAAACCTGGTTTCGGTGGTCAGAACACAGATAGCCCATTGTGTAGCTTTGTGCTTAATTCCAAACAAACAAACAAATCAAGTTGAAAGCTGCTCTTTCTGTTTCATGTTCAAGTAACATTAAAATACTTTTATTTGAATTATGAATTGCATAAATTTACCTCTCATTGTATTCTACGTATAAGTAAAGATTTCACAATACGCACATGAACAATATAATTTTGACTAATGTAACTTTTTCGCAAGACTCAGTGTTATAAATGACGTTTAAAAGTAACTTATACTGACCTATAAAACATCATATACGAATTGAAAAAAAGTATCATTGTTAAATAAGTCTTTATGATGCGTTGAAAAATTAGCCATAAAATGTCAGTAAATAATATAACTATTTTTAAAGTGATTGGTGGATATGAAATACATAAAAAAGGACTTTACCAAGGTGTAACAACTTTTTCGAAACTTTTGGTTAAAGCAATAGATAGCTTAAGGAATAAGCGAATACATTGTCACTTGTCCAAAGAACAAAGGAATTGCGGCATCTTAGTCTGCTATAATGTCTCAATTATACAATTTGTTGTTGCTATTTTTTAAGGTTCTATAACCTATTTTGAAAAACTGTCTATTTATGTGTAAATTCGGGATATAATAAACCTTTTGCTTCTTACTCAATAATAGCAGAACTTACTCGTTTTTACTCGCTCTGATATTTAATTGATAGTTAGAAGCTAATCTTATAAATTACTATTAGTAAGTGTACCGTTTTCGTTCAAACTTTACACTTCTATCTTAAATTTATGCTTTTAACTCTTTAGTATTTTTAAATGTAACAATATTCCTGTCTTTCAAACACTCAAACAATTACTAAAGATTTTGAGTATTACACTGATTTTGCAAATGCCTGGCAATTTCGCTTAAAAAACTCTTAACTATTTGTAATGATACTAAAAGAGAATACGTCTTGCCAACAGTAACTAAGATGGAGGAGGTTAATAGAGTAGATTCTCAGGTTTCAGGAATATACGAAACGGGCTTTCGGAATACTTTAACTCGATAACATTGTCGTAACACTTGAAGACGTTATGAAAGCAAAATAAAAATACACATAAAATACGACGTAATCAAAATAAAATTTGTTGTTTGTCTAAAAAACTATTAAGAAAAATAATAGCTAAATTCTATTTTCACACAGCCCCAGCAGTTTTCGGGCTAAAATAAATAATTGGAAAATAGTATACTGTAACATTATATTATAAAAGAATAAAACAAATGTCCTTATACCGCTGGAAACCGGGTTTCGATACCAGTGGTGTGCTTACTGACATATAACAACTGCAAATACCTAAAATAAAATGGATGAGAATAATGATTCCAAATATAACACCCGTTTTTCATCATGATAAGTATTATCGTGAAGGAGTGATAAAAAAACAAAGCGTATCTCAAATGAAAATAGTTTGATTCTGAATAACAAATGAGCACTGTACACCATTTCAACTTACTTTATCATTGGTAATAGTATCCCATGTTGTGTACGTATCACCTTGTCCGTTAGGTTTATTGTTTCCAACATCGTTTTCTTCGTGACCACTATTCACTTTCGCTGAACTTGTTCCTAAGCAACACCGATTACTAATATTAAGCAAATCGATACAGTTTGATAATGGGTTGTTATTCAATACAAATGTCTTTCATTTATTGTTAAACAAGCTGCTTCAGTTACTAGTCACACAGTATCACACATTATGTTCCTATCTAATTAGGATATATATATATATATATATATATACACACACAAATATACATTTATATGAAATAACAAATGATAAACAGACTCTCATTTATGTTATGGAAAGAAAGTATACTACTACAGGATATCAACATTTGAACAGTTAAAGTTAAATTTATATGTATGTGTGTTTCTGTGTGTATTATATCTACGAAAACCATAAACTGCCACAATAATTCTACAGGCATATGATATGAATAATAAACAGCGTAATCAGCATTTTCCGACGACAGATGAATACTTTCATCGTTTCGCTACAAAACACACACAGAAACATGCACACTCAAAAATGTGACGATAGTGATTAGTATTACAAGTCAATATAAATAGAACTATACTTTAATATCCAGGTTTCGCATTATTTAACAACTTATTTTTCAACATATGTGTGCATAAGGAGTTTTCAAAATAAGAAATGAGACAACGTTTAGAATAATGTTTATGGAGATTATAGTCCATATTGGTAAAAATGTGATTTTTATTTTACAAATAACATCACTATATTGAAAAGTTGGTATTAAGGATTCGTTCTTTTTTAACTTCTGGTTTACAGTATTTAGATTGTCATCATTTAGATGATGGTCAACATATTCTTGCTTTCATAAAATTGTTCGTATATAACTTTCTGAAATTATATCAAGTACATTTATCGCAATTAAATATTAAAGCTACTTTACAAGGGCGTTTGAATCCCAGTTATCACAACTGAGGTTCATTATTACTTTACAAGGACATTCGAGTTCCTGTTACCACAACTGAGATATATAATTGCTTTACAAGGGTGTTTGAGTAACAGTTGTCACAACAGAGATTTACAACGGTATAATAACGGGGTGGAAGTTCCTTAGTTAAATTATATTGCAAGTAACAAAATTAACTTTCATATGTGTAGCACAACTAAACAAAATAGTTTTGTTATACCTTTCGGACAATGATATTTCGCTCTAGCTTTCATTCCTAAAACAATCAAGCATGAAACCAGAACTAAACCAGCAACAATGGCGACCAAAATTGCCAGTACTGGACTAAATGTCATCTGCCAAACAGTTTCTGGAAAGAAAAAAAAAGATACATATATGTGTGAGTCCAAAACAATTATATCGTATTGTTTTAATTGTATTTCACTGAAATCTTATTACCATTTTGCTTTATTAGTTGTAACCTTCTAGTACAAATAATGATATCAACTAATAATACTTTCAGTAAATCATTAACTTTGTTGAAATTATTGTCACACATTCTTTATGTGATTGTTGTATTTTAGATTGTTGTATTGTATTTGTTCTCTACTATTTTATAAGTGTGACTTAATTCAGGCTTGATTTACGTATCACCAAACCAAATCATCAGTTTCTACCTGTCTGAGATTGTTTTAGAGGTACGGCTAAAGTACTAGTTCGAAGTACTACAGCATTACTCCTTCCTTTAGCGTTCACAGCGTAAACTATAACGACAAAATTCGTCCCTGGGGGAAGTCCTGTGGCGTAGAATCTGGCATCTGCTGAGGACAAGTTAGCTCGAAGCTTATGGAATGTTGTATCGTGGACCTCCATTACAAAATGCTGGCTTAGTCCTCCGTCATACCCTTCGAAGCATTCTAATTCTATTGAATGTTCCGTTTGGTTTTGAAGTGAACAGTTTGCCACGGCATCTGGTGGACCTGGAGATTTAAGTGTTAAGTTATTAACATGAAATTCAACTAAAAGTAAACGAGGACTGGAGTTTTAACTATAACATGATGTTATCAAGACGTCTAACTTGGTCGTAAAGATTGTTATGAACTAAAAAGAGAATTGTTTAAGGATGGGGAATTATAATGATGCACTTACCTTATTCCTCTTGTATAACAAACAAGTAAAAAACTTCTGCATAAGTAAACATATATCAACAATACAGTAGTTGTTGTTATGAAAATTATAAAATAATTAACTTATTAACAATTACAAACTCCTGTCTAATAACAAGTTTAACTAACTTATTTTATAAATTATTAATTCAAGATGTATTCATCGTTAGTCACTTTAACTAAAACTATTATGGTATCAAAACTGTTTAGATAAATAATTTATGTACATCATTTTGTTTTTTAACATAAAATGATGTACATACATTTTTGTTGTTTAACTCTTTCACAGCCATGGAATATTGGAATTTTGTGTTATTGTGAAGAGAGAGTATTCTCCATCAAACTTATTACCAGTTTGGAACTTCAGAAAAGTTATGGAATATTTAAAACATGCGTATATAATTGTTTTTATTGTGTATCTAAAATTAACCTGTCACTGGGAGGCTTATCTATCTTAAAATATGGCAGTGAATGGATTAACGCAAGGATAGAATAATACCCGTGTTGTTTCCCACTGCTGGTTTAATGTAACGTTTTCTAGAGACCCCGTCTTCTTGCCTGTACATTATTCTATCAAATATAAATGTTGACTGATCACTTTGTTTATGTTCCACGTGTCTTATCAATTCAATATTTTTCTTCCTTGGGTACCATATATATATATATATATGTGTGTGTGTGTAGAATATCTATAGTATATTTATAAGCAAAACTCGACGTTTACTTTTAATTGAATTTTTCTTTTATAGTTTATCGAAATATACCATAGTTATTGTTCAGACGTTCATAAAGCAGAATTTTATTAAAACTATATATAGTTAAAACAGTATTTTCATTCAGTAAGAGATATCTCTTAAAAATAATAACGTTTAAAATAGAATAAAATAAACCCTCTAACAAATTAAGCTAATAATGATATATATATATATATATACATGTATATTAATTGGTATTAAATTAAGATTTTTAGATACATGGAATTATTAGGCACGTAAGTTTAAGAGATATTTTTGAGCTGCAATACAGATTTATTCAGCAAGTAATAATAACAATAAGAATGCATTGTTAAAAACAGTATAAAAGGACACTGAACGAATTCCACCCCTTTCCCTGTGAAAACTAAGTGCTTTAGAGAAGAGTTACATGTTCATAGTTTACACTGTAGTTTTTCTGTCATCCACTGCCCTAGAATGTGCCCCACAAATATACATCCTATAAAACTGCATGAAATGATATTATTCCCAGCAGTAGTAGTAGTGTAATTTCAGCTATGGCTCTCCCAGAATAGAAATGTCGCACGTTAAAGCATGTGGAATTGAGTATTTGGCTAGTTGCGGAAACTACATTCGAACAAAGTAAATCAAAATACCGCGTTACGCTAGAAGTTGTTTGCAATACTTTGAAGACGATGCATGAAACTGACACTATTAATAACAGAAGTGGCTGAGATAGAAACCTCTCTTTCAAAGAGAGGTTAAATATCCGAGGGTATGTGCTTTTTTGAAATATACGATGGCTGAGTCCAGATCTGGCTAAATACCTCGCTATTGTTACAGAAATGAATGTTACATCGAGAACAGTAAGATATACATTAAAATGGAATTGTAGCGGCACGAAAACTGCTGCTGAGAATAGGTAACCAAACCTAAAGGTTCAAATGGACATCAGATCCCAAACAGTAGTAGGTTAAGCAAATATAATATAAAGATTAACTTGCATGGTGGGATAATTTGTTTTTGTATTCACCCACGTACACTTTATACACCAGTGTATAAATCCAAGTTCAGATAATCTGACCACAACCAATGACAGTTTGTTTGACAGCAGAGAAGATGATGATATCATCATGACATTCCTTCGGGAATCAGCCGGAAATTTACCTTCCCTCGCATACAATAAATATGATGAAACGATACCTTGAGAGGTAAGGAGTTGATATAACACTCACGAAGTTCCAATAAAAACGTTTTTCAAGCTGTATGGACTTACGTACAACTGAGAAGGTGAAAAGGCGGCTGAAGGTACAAGCGAATATATTGTACAGTTCACTAGTATTTTATATGCGAGTACTTTGCTGTACACAAACTTGTTTTCATATTGCCTTATAGTTTATTAATATACCATTACAGAATGTTGTTCCAGATCATGTACTACTTCCCATAATTCAGCCAAACTTTTGTACTTTCCGTGACAGTCACCATCTAATTACCATTACTTGTTTGTAACTCTTACATATGTGTCGCTTATTCATTTGTACATTCCATAACAGTCACCATCTAATACCATTATTTGTTTGTAACTCTTACATATGTGTCGTTTGTCGTTTGTACTTTCCGTGATAGTCACCAGCTAACTGCCATTACTTGTTTGTAACTATTACATATGTGTCGCTTATTCGTTTGTTTAAGCTAAAAGCTGCACAATGGACTATTTGCGCTATCTCACGTTAGGGAACGAGCCCCAAATTTTAGTGCTATAGCCTCTCATGCTTACAGATGAACAACAGGGCCGAATGAATATACTTAGTGTATTTACATAATCATTTCTATAACTATACATATCTAAGTGAATATGAAATCAGTGTTGTTCAAAACGATTAATTTCAAACAATTCTAACATTTTATATTTTTAGGAAAATATTTGGTCGAAGAAACGAATAAACTTTGAAATTTATAGAAATACATTGCTGATATTATCTGATTTTTTTTATTAAAGTTGTATTCTAGTGATCACAAAAATCTGAAAAAATTCAAGGTTTACTAGCATCTTAACATTTAAATTACTCTCAACCATTCTCCGTGTTTCAAACTTCTAAAAACACGTTCTTTTTTGACAAAAAATTTTAACTTATTCCTTTGACTGAAGTATTACATAATTATAGAGGAGAGTCACGATTTTTACATTCAAAACTGCAGAAATTAGGAAACAAATTATGAATCTAATATTCGGGCGATTATGAAATAGAATAGTTATTTACACAATAAATTCATACCTGCGGGAACAAGTTGGAAGGCACACGGTTCTTTTTGGATCCCAACCGAATTTTTTCCCCAGCAAAGTATTGTTCCGTAATCACCATCTCCTCTTGGCGAGAAAGTAGCCGTACTTCTCTTTTCCTCACTTTCAAATGTCGTAACGTCTAAAACCTCTTTCGTGTTGTTGAATCTCCACTGAAACGTTACATCAGTCGGATCTGCCTCAACGTCGCAAAAAATTTTTACGGTTTCATGTCGAGCAGCTCCATACACAGATTTCTGACCAATTCGGCACGTCGGGGCATCTGTATGGAAGTCAACATAGCTTTAACTGTGATATGACGAAATGAAACGACAAACGGGAAGATATAACAGCTACACGAACATTTAAACCCGATACTAAACCAGCAATAACAGTATTCTGGTTGCTTTCAATGACTTCTGATTTCTTCTTGTTGTTGTTGTTATCATCTTTTTTTTTACTACCATCCACACGCTCAACTTATATTTTTTAAACTATTTTTCATTTTGTATTTTGCCTGCTGCTCAGATGTTTCTAAAATTCTTGTGCAAGTAACTTACAATATATTATTATTATCTGCATGGGTTATTACAAACCCTTGCACGTATATTGACCAATCAGATGTGTTCTGAAACTTTCTAAATTTCCCTACGACATTAACAATTATTCATATTAATATTATATGTTAGATAAATGACGTAACCCTAACTTAAGTAAATTAAGAGATCGTGTTTCTGACGTTGGAGATTTCATTAAAAGGTAGGAATTAAAATAATGATTTTTTTTATAAAACTAGTTAGTTGCATTAACTATTAGGTTAACTTGATGCTAATCATAACGTTTTGATATAATGTTATCTTACCGTACACGTCTTTAAGTGATTTTATTCTTAATCTATAGAAAATTACAAATCCCTAAGGAAGATTGTAACCTAGAAAATAATTAATAAGGCTCAGGTTGGATTTCATTTAATGAGTGATGTGTCATAACTTTTTTATTTAATAGCCGCTATGTAATTTAATTCGCTCAAGAACCTCATACAGAAACGATTGATTATTATGTCTAAATATAAATAAATATGTATACGTACATACACACATACACACACACACATATATATATATATATATACACTTTTAAATTTATTATAAACAATTTTGATTAATTAAGCTCTAAGATTCTATTACTTTATACAAATAAGTACTCTATTGTAACTAACCCAGAACTCAGTTATTTATTGAAATATCAAGTTCAACAATGATGTTCTCATTTGTTAAAAACTTTTCAAAAATAGAGAGAAATACGAGATGACAAAAAAAAATGTTAGAGGTAAATTGGTTTTCTTAAAAAATTAAAATTCTCTATCGGTCGATTTATTTATCTACGTCATTGTGATTTCAATTACAAACAATAAAGTTGGTAAATAAAACTATTGTACGCCTCAGATCTTTTATTGTAAAAGAGTCATTGACACGTGTTTTTTTTTTGTTGTTGTTGTTGTTTTGTTTTTTGTCATAGTTACATTATAATCCTTCTTCGGATTATGCATTATTATTTAGCTGATGAATTATCTCGGCCCAAACCTTATTCTAAAAATTGCAATTTCACAAACAAACTTAGGCTTCAATGGCGTTATATTGCAGTCCGCTATCACTACTACTGAGCAAACATACTGCTATTTCAGCTATGAAATAACCAATGAAGTTTTTTTAATCTTAACTTTACCATCAATTGTGGGATGTAGACCCTAAATTTTCTGCTTAAGCGAATTGGTGTTGTAGATATTTTTGTTTTGTTTTTTGTTTATCCAACTGAATGTGTTTAGATGCTTGTTTTGGTTTAATTTGATATCGTGGAACCGTACAGCACCATATGCGATATGTACTAAAGGCCAACTTAAAGTTTCCAAGCTTCATGCATAGCCACCTATAATATAAAACTGATGACCGGAAGGAGCACAGCGTCCACCACCTACACGACTACACTGAACCGAATAATGGGGTTGATGTCACGGTTATAACCCACCGACTATACTGAACTGAATAAAGGGGTTGATGTCACGGTTATAACTCCAACACTACACTGAACTGAATAACGGGGTTGATGTCACGGTTATAACCCACCGACTATACTGAACTGAATAAAGGGATTGATGTCACGGTTATAACTCCAACACTACACGGAACTGAATAACGGGGTTGATGTCACGGTTATAACCCCACGACTACACTGAACCGAATAACAGGGTTGATGTCACGGTTATAACCTACCGACTATAATGAACTGAATAAAAGGGTTGATGTCACGGTTATAACCCCACGACTACACTGAACTGAATAACAGGATTGATGTGACGGTTATAACCTACCGACTATAATGAACTGAATAAAGGGATTGATGTCACGGTTATAGCTCCAAGACTACACTGAACTGAATAACGGGGTTGATGTCACGGTTATAACCCCACGACTACACTGAACCGAATAACAGGGTTGATATCACGGTTATAACCCCTACCATAGCAGAAAGTGCGTAGCGTGGTTCGCGGCTAGATCTTTCGACAGACAGCTCGGTATGCTAATCACTAAGCCACATCCAGCCCTTATGTTTTAACATTACAAGATTTAAATCAAAATAACTTGTGAGCTGTAAACTAAATCAAGATATCCAAACACTGAACACGCAAAACAAAACTAATCAGAAGAGATAAGATCTTTAAAAAAGATCAACAAGAAGCGTGATCAAATATACCATTAATGTATATTATGTAATGTGTACATCTACGTATATTTCCAAATTTTCAGATTCATGAATCGAAATCCACTGATTGATCTTTCTTAAACTTTACTTGATTTACTAAAGTTTCTCTAATTTACACACACACACACTTCTATGACTACAGTGTCATTCTCCATACAAAACATAATTTCTTATCAAATCACGAACTCCTTGATTTAGTATAACATAACACTGAGTTAGTTTTATTTTAAATAAAAACTCGTGCACTATCGTATTCCTTGAAGCAGATGTTACGTTCCCAAACTAAAATGATACATTTGATGAAGTTTTCCGATTCTGGACTTACATTGAACTTTTAAATGAAGAGAGTTGCTGACACCCTCACCCTGGATGTTTGATGCTGTGCAAGTATAACGCCCTCTACTCGACCTGTTAACCTTTTGTAGAACGAGAGACTGGTTGCTAATAATTATACCTGCAGACGTGTTCGTACTCAATTCTTTTCTCTCGAATTCCCAGCCAATATCTGTGACCCATGGATTTGCAGTAATATCACATTCAAAATAGACATCATATCCCTCTTGTATATGTGAATGCCTTAATTTACTGCCAAGGCGAAGCGAGAGAATTGGAACATCTGAAAAATGTTTAAAATAATAGCATTAACACGTTTCGTCTTTCAACAAAAAATAGCTAGTTTGGTTTAAAATGTCTTTGTTTATCATAAAAGGAACAGAAAAACATTAGATTGAAATGAGATTTTCAAACTAATCTTGAAACAATATTTTTTATGCTTCAGTATAACTTTAATCTACGAAAAATAATGATTGCACAGTCACTGTTTACTAAACAACATAGTATTAATTACTATGTGTATAAGCTCATAAATAGTTTTCTTCAAGTTTGAATTACAAACTCTACAAGGAAACGCCACGCGCAATGAAGGAAGTACATTTTAATATTGTGACATTTTTTATGGAACAATACAACATTTAGAAAAGTTACTTTCTAAGCCACAAACTAATACAGTTCAACTCCAAGAAATTTTTTATGGAAAAATATAACATTTAGAAAAGTTACTTTCTAAGCCACAAACTAATACAGTTCAATTTTGATAATACAAAATATTATATCTCGTTTTTACATTATTCTGTGATGGGAATAGAAGCAATCGTTAGGGATGTAAAAATAGCGTGTACGATTGATGCAAAAAACTACTTTTTATATCACATGACGTTCTGTAACATATTACTCCAAAATTACTTCAGCTTTCCAATATTTTCGAAGGAATAAAGTGCTAAGTTTATTTCATATCAGATAAGAAAACTATTCTTATTCCTAGACGTACGATATATTTCAAGTTTCCACCCATTTTCAATCGCACTATTAGTTATTTTCGGGTTTTCCGCTCTGCAGGACAGGTATTTTCCATTATCTTCTAGAGACGGTTGGAAAATTAGGGTGCTAATAGAGACATTCCCGTTACTCGTAATCCAGTTTTTCGTTCGTTTAAGCTTCCTGTTGCCTTTCCACCAGGTCACTACAGCTGGTGGTCTTGATCCTGATGTTTTACATTCTAATTCTGTTAGCTTTCCAGAAGATAAAGGTTTATAAGCACCATCTATATCCAACTGAATGGGCTTCACTGTGTGTGAACAAAAAGATACAATTAAAATATGTGATTTTTACCTTAATTCATTTTTTTTTATTTGGTAAAATTAACTATTTCAGTAGTACATACGCAGAATACGTAAAACGTTTACAATAAAAGCTGCAGAAACGTATTTTTCTGCCAATATACAACTGCAAGAACACTTTTAAAAATTTAATCTTTGTTCACCAAGGCGATATAGTAATCTTAATACAATAAAAGGAAGGTTTAAAATGAAAACTCAACATGATCTGTCCCCAGGTGGGATTGTGGAAAGTATTTGGATTTACAATGCTAAAATCATGGGTTCGATTACTTCGGTGGACACAGCAGATTGCCCAATGTTGCTTTGCTATAAAAAACAACACACACATACACACACACACACACACACACTACATGCTTTTCATGGATATATCTTAATGCAAGATTATTACGGTATTTTCATAACATGTGAAATTATTTTGTTTTCATATTTGATAACTCATAAACAAAAGTAAATATTTTGAGACTTGTAATGTACAGAAACTATTTTAAAATGAAAAAAGCAAAGAAAGATCCCGAAGTTAAAAGAGTCTTCTGTCATGGAAACCGGAAAGAACCAATTATTTCTTCTTTTTTCAATTTAAAACACAATTATGTAAATTATGATGACGATAATTGTTCTGCAACTTAATTTCAATTGAAGAAATAGCTCGATTTTAAACTGATTTATTTGGGTTATTCTTTTTCAACCATGTAACACAAATATGTTTGTATATACCCACCAAGTAGTGTGTGTCTTCCAGAAACTCAAACACTATTCACTACATTTTCTCATACTATCTACGATAAAACAAAGAAAGAAAAACGACTTTCCTAATAAGTTTGAATGTATACTTACAGTTCATATCAATTTTGACATAAGCAGTCATTGGAAGGGACATGTTATTATTCAAGGCCTCACAGGTAAAAACTGACATAAGATCATTGCGATGAAGTGCAGAAACATGAAGCTGGTTAAACGTTATTTTTTGTGGTGTTACTTCATAAGAATCATCAATAAGCTCAGAATCTTTCCACCATGTCAACGAAGGTGTTGGTTTTCCTGAAAGGTATGCCATAAATATAGAAGTATTACAAAGCAGTATCAGAGGAGTTTGCAGGTTATGTCAACTCAAATTTAAATATCAAATAAGAAATCACTTGATAACTGCAGCCGATATAAAGTCGTGGTAGAATGACATTTATCAAAAACTAGATTTTGACATTGTATATAGTGTGATGCCTCCAATAGTTCATCGCTTTTGGGAAGGGTGTGTAAGATCACATTCCGACGCAAGATATTCATACACTTAAATCATAAAGATATATATGGTATACTGAGGTAAAACTGACTTAACCTTCGAAAAGTTGGATAGGTCCACTTAATAACACGTGTATGTACTTGCTTTTATGGAACGATGGACTTTCGATTTTACTGGATTCTCTTTTTCAAGCTGTTTTCTTCTAAAAATCATGTTCTACACTGGTAAAATCCAACGTTTCTTAATTTGCAAGAAGCGTCACATTTTACCAGGACGACTAACGGTACTACGAGACTGGTAATTTTCATCCCAGCGTCGGCGAGGTCGTAACTTCTAGATATTATAAGAACGATCATTGACGAACACTGCTCTCGACGTTCTTGCACAACGCGCTATATTGCAGCAATATCTCACTCTCTGGAGCAGAACATGTATTATCCACTCGAGATTAACAAAGGAGCAAAATCAGCTAGAGTTAAAATAAAATAAGCTTAACAACTTTCTCATCCACGTATTATGTAGAACTTAGAGATACACAGAATAAACAATAAATTCTGAATAAATACTATAATGTTACAATAAACATACATGTTTTTGCCATATTCATATACCACAGAAGTGTTCAGATCAGAGCTTTTGAATTTCTAAGATGTGAAGACAAAGGAATATGGTTGAACTTGGACACCATGTCTATCCAGAAAAAGACCTGAACTAGGTTCTACCCCAGCCGTAGAAAGCAAAGTGTGGCACTATGTAATAGTTAAAAATCCACTAACACTAAGGTCAGTGGCAAAAGTCGTCCCATGCCCCAGGTAACAGTATGTAACATAATCAAGAAGGATCTTTGTCTGGAAAAGCAATATATGCTGCTTCTAAAACATGTCCAATCAACCACTGCATACCTTAAGCAACTGGCAAATTAAACGAGTATTCATGATATTCCATATGATGAAGACATGCCGATCAAGCACCTTTGAATTTATTTGAGATTAGACTGGCGCAGTAAAACCGTATTTCTCGCACACTAAACATACTAGATGACTTGTGAAAATATTTCAGAGAATAGTGGTAGGCGTTTGACATGATAACCCGACTTCGTAGTATTTTAAATAGAAACAGCGCTGCAGGGCTATCTATTGTTAAGATGCACGGTTGTCAGATAAAGCATGAGTTTGGGGCATGTACTGTGATCGATATATTTTGTTAATTTTTAAGGTCTTAATTTCGCGTAAAATGTGTAGTACACACGACTCATGTCTATTTCGTCAAGAGCCCTTTATTATCAGTGCTTAAATAGGAAATAAATTTTATCACCATAAAAAATTTAAAATAACTAAAAGCTGATAGTTCGTATAACTATAAATGAACGACCCTCAGTACTTAAACGTTGTTCATGTGAACGTTGTAATTTTAATTTATTATTTTACCCACAATAATTCCTCTTTTAAGCAATCCCCACCCAGTGGCATAGCGGTATGTCTGAGGACTTATATCGCTAGAAACCGGGTTTCGATACCCTTGGTGGCCAGATCACAGATAGCTCATTGAGAGCTTTGTGCTTAACTACAAACAAACAAACTTTTGCGCAATTCTTTTCGCGACTTCTAATTTAAGTTACTTTTGGTTCAATCGTTGAAGGTTTCTTTCTTTCATATTCAATTCGCTGGCTGACCAGCAAGTAATGTTTTACCCCATAAAACATGTTTATAAGGTGAAACAAATTTTAGTTTTCTGGCTGAAGTGGTAGACAACTACTGGTCTATTACAATATTGACAGCATTGATTTTCAATGGCTGTAGTTTTTATTATCCTTCATAGATTCGTCCAGGAATGGCTCATTCTCTCTCAGAAACTAAAAAGACTGGAAATATTTTGTCTTCGATTCTGTTAACGGAATGTTTTTTTTTTCTTATAAACCACATTAATATTTCGAATAAAAGTTTTTGCTGTTATAAACAATATGCCCGTATAATACCTGTGAAAAGAGTGCTTTGATGTGTATGTTTCGTGCGTAGTGACAACGAGTTTGAAATTCATGTTGTTGTTAATTTGTTAATTATCATTTGGTAATATATAACATAGAAAGTGTCGCAAGTAGAAATAAAAGTTTTAATTTTTTTGCTTGCTATCAGTTTATAATCAACGATGTTTGTGTTTAAACATTGCAGTACTTATCCGTGTTTCTTTGTTTTTTATGTACGTTCTTTTAAGTATTACCGCTTTAAAAAATGTTGTATTTAACAATATGGGATAAATACACTCGTAGTCTTATCAAATAACTCTAAGTTAACCTCAGCATCTCAGAAACAGTTGGGATTATTTTCACAAATAATGTATAGTAGATGCTATTTTAAATACTCAAACTCGATTATCGCTTCGTGAGAGTGGGTTCATGAGAAGGAAAATGAACATTACACAGTAGTCAACACACGGTTTTACACATATCACAGGTAAGAGTCATACATAATTACAGAAGCATTAATAATGTTTGCATTCGGTGAAGATCTTAAGTAAAGTCATTTCATGACGAATAAAAAAAATAATATATATATATATATGTGTGTGTGTGTTGATAGATAGACATTAAAGTGTGTGTTTGTGTAATATCACTACAAGTGTCTTATAACTTGGAGATTAACATCGACAAATCCTACTAAAATGAATATTAAACCTTATCATGTGTTGTCCACTAGCTCCCTAAGACAGGAAAACACATTCCAATAGCATTAACTAGTTATAAGTCAAGTAATAAACTAGTTTTTGTTTTACCTTTCATGGATAACTTTGTCTTCGTTATCCTTTTAGGATTCCTGAATGAAACGTCCAATAATGACGTTTTAGTAAGAAACAAAATGCTTTCGGAAGATGTAGCTCATAAATTATTTCTTTTAAGTACTCAATTTATGCCGAAAGGCACTACTCTTCTAGTACACAATTAATTTTCCCATACTATCAGTAAGTTTCATCAAGTTGCTGTACTTTTATTACTAAGTTAAACTACTATAAACTTCATGTTGTGACTAAATAAGCGATCACTTTCCTAATAAATGTTTGTGTAAATTTGCTTACTTTTTAATACTGTTTAGTAATTTTTATAATTTCGTTTGATAAACGCCTTTCTATATACTGATGTTATAATCTTTCAAAGTTATGGCAATAAATATAGCTCTGTGATTATTTAAAATGGGAACTATTTACAAACCAAAACTAAAACCAAACTAAACTTAAAATTCTTATTTTGCATCTTTATATTAAATTATAATTATTTATATTATTCCTTATTTTCACTTAAATGTAAGAATGGCACAAATAATATTACCAAACATATTCACGCAGCACAGCTCACTAGAAATGGACCCCCCCCCACCACTAAATCAGCATATTAATTCGGGGGAATTAGTGGGTATACTTTATAGATGCCAGAGCTGCTTCAGATTGTCAGTTTTATTAATGGGCTAAAAAGAAAGCAGTCAGTCAAAGGCATCCACCGCTAACTCTTAGGCTGCTTTTCTCTGAATAAATAGCGTGATTTGATAGTATCTCTTGTAGCGCACCCCCGACCCCAAAGCATTAACCATGAAGCCTCGAATACACAATCCACGTGTACTAAACCATAGGTTAAACCTCGCACTAAATTAACGCATAGGAGAAGATGTTTATATCTGTATAGTTTCTAATTTGATTTGAAAAATAACTCCACAAAAATACCAGACTTATTTAAACTTATCAGGCAGCTTTAATTGAATTTTAGGTTTCCATTATTTGTATTAAAGAAAGTATTTTCAAGAAGAAACAAAGTAGGAGAACGCAATATTGAATAAGAAATACGTAAACTTAAGTTTACAAACTGTAGTTTTTTGTTGTTTTTTTTTACTTAAATAAATCAAAAGACGCCCCTTTTATGTGGTTTTATAGAATTGAAATCCCATTTCTGGAAGGTAAAATAAATACAGATATACTTCGAATAAAAATTAAAATACGCGTATTTATAACTTCTTGCACTTTATTGAAAAGCTGCAAGTTTGATAAATTTTCAACACATTAAATATTTCACAAGAAATGTATATATATGCAGTGCAATTATACAAACTTATAATAATGCTCTTTTTAAGTTTGACGAAATCGCTACTGTTTCAAACATTAGAAAAGTCTCTTTTTTCTTATAAATTCAGTTGTATATAGTCTAAAACTTATAGATTTATAAATAATAAAAAATACAACGTTATTTTTTTGCTCAACACAAAGAAGTAGATGCAGTGATTTTCTGGAATATTACTGAAAAACGTAAGATCTAATAGACGGATTTTCTATATCTGTTCTTCTTAACTTAGGGAACACCTGTTGGAATCACAACTATTTGTAATTAATAGCTTTTTTTCCATACTTTTGTTATCCAAATGGGGTCCAGATTGGAATTTTTCATACCACTTTTTTTTTTGTCGCAGCACATACTAAATATTCGATAAGTTGATGCTTCCTTATGGTTTTATTTCTTTCTGTTTTTGTATTTCGTGAGATGACCTCTTAATTTTCCTGCTAAACCAACATTTAAAATGTCTACTACCAAAAATACCTACAACATTAGCTTGATTACGTTTTAATGAACTCGCATTTCTCAATCAACACCCAGTTTTTAAATATACGATATTAAGCATTTTGTGAAATAAAATCAATTATTATTAATCTTCAAAGTAACTATTACTGCTCTATAGTTATGTTAAGAGATATGCAAAATATATATAAACACTTAAGGATTACTAAGTTAACAATTACATTGCAGCAAATAAATCGTATATCGTATGAACCATAAAACTCACCTCCTTCACTTTCACACAGTAATACCAAACGATCCCCTTCATTGTATGGTCCTGCAACTGTAGCAAGTACATCACCTTTTTCATCTGTAATTCTTGGTTTATGTGGCGGCACTATCAAAGAGAAAATATACAATTGTTAAGAATGACTAAGTGTCTTCACCATCTTTTATAAAACACATATATATTTTTAAGTATATATATATTCTGCAGTGTGTTATACTATATGTATTATACGATACCTGTAAAAATGTAGTAATTGTTTGTGAAATTACTGTCAATAAGTTATCAATTTCTGACAAATTCTAAGCCAGTTACTAATAACAAATAAATGTAATTATTATAAGGGTGTAAGATTTCAAAATTATATATGTGAACACATAAAATCACAATTATGATGCTAAGTATAGGAAACAAACACTTCAAACATCTAGATCTCCATATAGGTTTGCCATCACACCCAATTTCGTAACAACTGCTACTGTTCTTGCATATAATAACTTTTTTCACCTGGTAATGCATTACATTGCTGTTCGTTTGCGCCCAAGAAGAGGTGCATTTAGATTCTAAATTGTTTTAGCAGAAACGTACTTAAACAAGAACAAACATTAAATTTACAGCGAGAAATGATACGGGTTTTATTGCACAGTTATTTGTTTCTTTTAAAATTTTCCCTCAAATTACTTAAGGGTTATCTAAGCAAGACCATCCTTAACTTTCAAATGATAGACAAGACGGAAGGCAGCTAATTAACATCGCCCTCCGCCAACGTTTGCGCTATTCTAGTCTGACCGAATAGTGGGATTTCAATGCCACTCTTGTATCGCACTACAGTCCAAAAAGAGCCACGAACAGGAACCTTTGGATTCACAGTTCGGAAAAGCAGAGCACACTCTACCACATCCGACCCTTATTAACAGTTGTCACATGTTCAGTTTAGGAATCATTTCGGTTTAACTATACGACAATCTATAAGTTGAATCAGGCCGGTGATATTTACAGCTATAAAAGGCTCATCCCTAATTATATGAAGATATTAATTGCAACGAAACAAACATAATTTTCAAAAGATGACATATTTGTAGCACTTTATAATACTGGCTATGTAACTCAACGACATTTTAACAGGCCCCTCACAAGTTGGGAACATTTTTGTTGAAAACAACAACAACAACAACAAACTACCCAATCCGGTTTTTCTTAATTTGAACTGAAATTATTTCGACATTTTTTTATTGGCTAAGAAGAAGTCATTTCCCGCACCCTTTTAGCGTTGGGGCTGCGAAAAGTGATTTGAAGTGGTAAGGTGACTGAAATCTGTCAGCTCATCAAGAGCTTAACGGCCAAGCACAAAAAACATGGAAGTCTCCAAATGACACGCAGACGCATTTAGGAACAATTTAGAACTACCTTCGTAGATATTGTGCACCAAGTCGAGTACAATATTATGCCTGTAGCTGCTTTCAAACTGTTCCTGTCTGCTCATCGCGATGCTTCGACCTTTCCTATCGAATTGCAGGTGAAATGGTTCATATCTAAATTGAAAGCTAAACATATAAGGGTGACAGCAGAAGCATAAAATGTTGAAAGTTGCTCAATTAATGAAGCTGAGAATGTGGCTTTATTGATATATATATATACTGAATTTACTTCCTGCGGGTAGACCTTAGTACTAGCTTTTATGGAGACTTGATGATGCTGTATTTCACTTAAACAATTATCAATTAATAAACGAAAACTTATCTCGAAAAGATGCGTCCAAAAACCACCATCCTTGGGAGTTTCCGGATTGAACTTACTTTTAATATTCAACAAAGTGCAGTATAAAGACACCCCTAAGCTACTGAAGGACCTGTTAATTTGAAATGCTAATTGTAATAGAACACCCTGTAGGAGGAGCAATTAAACAGGCTGATATCGAATAATACAATATTAGAGAAAATACTATTTATCAGTCTCCTCATATTTGGTGAATGCCTATCGCAACAATGACATTTTAAATAAGCAATAAAAATACTAAATTTGTGAAACAAAATCTTAGGTAAATAACTTCCATAGCTCTAGTGATCATGGATATAAAAGGTATTCAAACATAATATAAAACTGCCAAATGATGCACGCACATACACCTTAATCAAGAGTCAAGTTAGGATTTTCGTCGCTCAGTACATGTAAATATTTGTTTTGACATAATATTCTGTTAATGGAACCGTCCATTTGATAATTTTATTTACTCACCTTGTACAAGATGAGAATTGTAATCGGGGCTAGTTGTTACAGAGGTATGTTTTACAGTTCTCAAAGTACTAAAAGTCCTGTATGATGGAGTTAAAAATATTAGCACGTGCTCATGTCTTCTCAATGTTACTTATAAGGCAGAAAAGACTGGAGTGCCGTGAAGCTTTCAAAAGGTAGAAAGTTATAAAAGTATAACAGAAGATACGAACATGTATATTTTGACCTTCTGGGTAACTTTTTTTGTGCAGAGAAATGGAGTAACATCACGTTAATAGCTAAACCTACCTGAAGCTCTTATGGAGCCATACAGGGTATGTATATATGTTATTTATTACGTGAAATGTGACAATAGTGACTAAACTACTTTTAGTGTACATGTTTATAAACATGTTTGACATCTTGCTTGGCTAGATGTTACACATTGTAACGCCACATTCAAAACAGCAACTTCTTGAGTTTTTTTCTTTTTTGTGTGTGTGTGTGATAGTACGTCACTTTTGCATGTGGGGAAAAGTGGGTGCAGTGTATGAATGATAAATAATGGTTGGTTATGAACGCCTTGAGGAAAGTCCGTCTTACGTGCGTCACTTTTTTGAGGTTTTCTTTTATTTGTTTTTCCACACTAGTGACATGTATCTGAATTTGAAGTTTGCTTTGTAGAATATTTATTGACTAGTTTACTATCTACTTATATGACTTGGTAACTTATGTGTTTGTCCCAAGCAATTATTTTGGATGTAACAATTAATGTACGCCACTAGGTGTCACAGCATGATCCATTTAGTGGGCAAACTGCGACAACTGACTCTTCATTAAAACATAATCTTTATATTAGAAGTTATAAGAGATCCAACGATTTTGAATGTTGTTTCTATAACTGATGACACTGATATGTGTAAATAGGAAACACTACTTGGTTGTTTTTAAAGGTTTTTATTTCAGTAAAGAATTTTAAAAATATGCATTAACTAGACCACGTCTCAATATTTTGAAATTCTAATTAGATAACTTTTAACTTGTTAATTTATTTGTTTGAAGTTAAGCACAAAGCTACAGAAAGGACTATCTGTGCTCTGCCCACCACGGGTACCGAAACCCGGTTTCTAGTGTTGTAAGTCCGCAGACATACCGCTGTGCCACTGGGGGGGGCTTAACTTGTCAAATCGTTCTGAGTTGTGATTGTAATCTATATGGAAAATATGTTTTTGTTATCCATATTTTTCACGTATTTGTTTTATTTCATTTTGACAAAAAAAACTTTTGTTTATTTTGTTGCGTAGAGCTACACAAGGATTATATGCGCTAACCGTCTATAATATTGAGCTAATAAATCAGAGAGAATATAGTTAGCCAATACTACCTGCCGCCAACTCTTGGGTTACTGTAATCGAATAATTAAATTTCACCGTCATTCTTATAATGCACCACAGCTCCCATGTGAGAAGCGCGATTTGTTTTGTTGCAATGGGACGCGAAGAATGATCCTTTGGATCCATACTCCGGCATCATAACTAACGAGTAGGCCACGCTCGAAACAACAGAAGCTAATGTAAGTGTTTACAGGCTGTTACGATGACGTATTTTTGTAGTATTTTTATAATATTTTTGCATTTTTGTAATATTTTAGTGACGCTTTGTTGTGAGGCGTTGTAGGCTTATCGCCTGATTAATGACGTGCACATAACTAACGGTTTTATATCACATAATATATATTATACACGTTCTGTGTATAGGTTATTTGGCATTTATATAAAAGGTTTCAAGTTTCCTTTAGTAAAAAGGAGTTGTTTTTTGAGAAGTATGGTTTAGTTTAGTTTGAGTGGTTCAGATTTCTGTATCGAACCCGAAAGAGTTTTTGAACATAGATATTAATCGTAGGTTTTTGTTGTAAGCTTTTTGTTTACGACTCTAAGGAGTTCGTAAGTTTAAAAATTAGTCTTGACTTTTCTAACTTTTGTAAGCCTTGTGCTTTTTATTGAAAACTGGTGAAAATCGTTTTTGAAAATATCGACAAGTTTTGGTGCAGTGGACATTGGAACAGTGAACTTTTTGCAACCTGAAGCTGAATTTCGACATACTACGTTTTGAAGTGATTACGTTGAATTGGAGAGACAGTTATAAGAAAGAGTGATTTTTTTGTACTGTACCCTTTTGTATATTATTGTATATAAGTTTATATTTGATTATATTGTATATAAGTTTATTTTTTATTATATATTATAATATATCTTTAAAACTACAAAACTACAGAGGTGTCGTTTTTTTACGTACTTTACAGTACAGTAATACGGGATCGTAACAAAATACATATGCAACTATTTAAAAAATATTTGTTTTAAAATCTTTAATATCCGTTTTCATAACCCAGATACTATTGATATGTTAAAATTCGTTGAATAGTTATTTATATATATTATACCTACGTTTTTTATATTTATATCTGTGCACATCAGCATAGTACTTTTCTTATTTCGATGTTATGACAATTAATTAAAAATACGCTCTTATTAATTATATTTTACACACATGCCCTGTCTGACAATTTGCAGAAGCTGGGTTCACTTACAGATCGTACACATAAAGAGAGAAAAACGACTTAAGACTTCACACAAAATATTTTTTTAATCAAGTCTGTTATGTAATCAAAGGTTAAAATTATAACTTATAAGACAGAATTAGCTATGAATTTCTAGCATCTTATTGAAACAGTACCTCTAGGCATATTAAAATGGTTATCTCTGAGAGATTTGTAAATATTCTTGAAAAAAAGTGTTTGAAATACTGGAAGTAAACATCTATATCAGCTTTGAAGTATTTCCAGTGAGATTATCTTCATATTTGTACTGTATCAGGCTACAGTTAGTTTGTTTTAAGAC